CAGACTTCACTGACAGAATCAGGAATTTTACCTCACAGAACACAATGAGTCGCTGGTCTTCAGCTGCCCTTCAATTGGACAGTTAGTTTGTGTTGTTGTGTGACTTTTGGAACCGACCTAACCATGCCTGTTCTCTTGTCTGCTTCTCCAAACTGGGAGAGTAAAGCTGATAACACACAATTCCAAATGAAGGCTGAGTCATGAAGATCGCTCAGCGATGTTTACATTTTGTTTTTTTTTAATAAATTTACAAAAATGTCTGAAAGAATGTTTTCACTTACTCATACTGGCTATTTTCTGCAGATTCTTCTATCTTCTAATCTATGTTCACATCAGTTTTAGAATTTAGCAGTCAGAGTAGCTCTCCTGCTCTGGATCCAAGTACAGGAAAGAGCCCTGCCCCTGAAAAGCAGCAAAAGTCCGGTCACCACCGGATAACAGGTTTTGACCCAGCTTGGCTGTCAGAGGGGAAATACTCCCCCTGGTTGTACAAGACTGATCTTGGTAAGTAAGTAAGTAAGTAAGTAAATTCATACATTTAAAACATATAAAACAGAAATGTTTGGCTCTGTGTCAGTCATTTATCTTTTTAAAATATTATTCCAAATAGATTTTTTTTGTGTGAATTATTCCCCACACTCAGAGCAGCTAAATGGTTTCTGTCCCGTATGAGATCTCATGTGTACTTTCAGAAGTGCACTTCGAACAAATGTTTTCCCACACTCAGCACAGCAAAATGGTTTCTCTCCTGTATGAGTTCTTGTGTTAAAATAAAAAAAGTGTTTTTTCAGACTGAACAGCTGAATCACGTTTCTCCCTCATGAATTTTCATGTGTGTCCGTAAATTTCCATTTCGTGTAAATGATCTCCAACAAATTGAGCAGCTAAATGGTTTCTCTCCTGTATGACATCTCATGTGTTTCTTCAAATCTCCACTCGAACCAAATCTTTTCCCACACTCGGAACAGCTAAATGGTTTCTCTCTTGTATGAGTTCTCATGTGTACCTTCAGATTTTCACTTTGACCACATGTTTTCCCACACTCAGAACAGCTAAATGGTTTCTCTCCTGTATGAGTTCTCATGTGTTTCTTCAGATGATCACTTCTACCATATGTTTTCCCACACTCAGAACAGCTAAATGGTTTCTCTCCTGTATGAGTTCTCATGTGTATCTTCAGATGTTCATGTCGACCATATGTTTTCCCACACTCAGAACAGCTAAATGGTTTTTCTCCTGTATGAGATCTCATATGTTCCTTCAGTTGTGGACTTCGAGAAAAGCTTTTCCCACATTCAGAGCAGCTAAATGGTTTCTCTCCTGTGTGAGTTTTCATGTGATTCTTCAAAACTACACTGTAACCAAATCTTTTCCCACACTGAGAACAGCTAAATGGTTTCTCTCCTGTATGAGATCTTCTGTGTACCTTCAGATGGTCACTTCGACCATATGTTTTCCCACACTCAGAGCAGTTAAATGGTTTCTCACAAACAATCAAATCACTGACAGGGACTTCATCATTTTTCAGAGAGTTTAAACCTGACTGAGGTTCTCTGGTCTCCTTCCAATCATCACTGTCATCAGTCTCAGGTTCAGAAGATGCTCCAGTCTTGTCAACAGTCTCTGGTTGTAAATGTGTATCTGGATCTGAGTTCCTGGCTGGTTCTGCTCCTCCACAGTCCTCTCCCTCTGCTTCTGTTTCCATCTGTTCAGTGTGTCTTTCATGAAGCTGTGAGGACTGAGGTTTCTCTTCATCATCTTCACTGTTCACAGGGACAGGAGTGGATGTAAACTTGATGATATCATCTTCCTCCAGCCCTTGAAGCTGCTCTCCCTCCTGACTGATCCAGAGTTCCTCCTGTTCCTCTTTAATGTGTGGAGGCTCTGGGTCCTCCTGGTCCACACTGGAGCTCCACTCCTGCTGCTCAGGGGGAACCTCTTCTTTAACCACCAACAGCTGCTGGACGTCTGCAGGGAACAGGAAACACACACCACACCACACACACATATACCCACACACACACACACACACACACACACACACAGATGTTACAGAGAATTGTTGTCGTTCATTCACATCACAGCTCAAAAACTCCTTACTGAACTTCTACAGATCTCTGAGCATCAAACAGCTTCACAGTGTTCACTCAGCTGTGTCAGAGTGAGTGAGGTTGAGATGAGCTTTAATTTCATAGCAGTCATTAACATGTACTGTTACTCTTGTCATGTCTGGAGGCTACAGTGTGGCTCTTTATTTACTCAAACTAAAGTGAATTATGTGAGAATGATTGTCCATAGGATGCGAGAGTTTGCTGTGAGTCAAGTTTGATTACTGGCAGCCTGAGTAAATAAGATGCTGTTAGTACATCAACTCAAGTAGATTCAGATTCAGATTTAGATTCAGAATACTTTATTAATCCCCGGGGGGAAATTGTTTTTGTTCCAATGCTCCGTGCAAAGTAGAAATAGAAATACAGCATGAATGGAAACAAGAGATAAAGATGAAGATATAAATAAGATACTAAAAAAGACAATGAAATAAATAAAATAAAATATTAAAGTAAACATTAAAATAAAATAAAATAAAATATTAAAGTAGACAATAAAATAAAATAAATAATAAAATAGTAAAGTAGACAATCTGAAATATATACAATGAAATGGTTGTAGCGTTATAAATGAAATAAGAATGAGTAATAATATTGTGTGTTTTGTTTTATAAATAGCCAAATGAGTCCGATCATCAGAGGCAAGAGTTGTACAGTTTAATGGCCACAGGTAAGAATGACTTCCTGTGGCGCTCAGTGGTGCAATTAGGAGCAATCAGTCTCTGGCTGAAAGTGCTCCTCAGTTCGACCAGAGCGTTGTGGAGAGGGTGAGAGCCATGCTGAAGTATCGCCCGCACCTTTGACAGCATCCTCCTGTCTGACACTGCTGTCAAAGGGTCCAGCTCCACCCCCACAACGTCACTGGCCTTTCTGATCAGCTTGTTGAGTCTGTTGGCATCGGCTACTCTCAGTCTGCTGCCCCAGCTCACCACAGCAAACAGAATAGCACTGGCCTCCACAGACTCATAAAACATCCTCAGCATAGTCCGGCAGATGTTAAAGGAGCGGAGCCTCCTCAGAAAATAGAGGCGGCTCTGTCCATTCTTGTAAAGGACTTCAGTGTTCTTAGTCCAGTCCAGTTTATTGTCAATGAACACACCCAGATACTTGAAAGTACTACTGCAGTACAAATTTGTGGTTCTTTTACTTCACTCGAGAATTTCTAAAAAAGTGTATGAGAGTGAGGCAGAGTGGATTAGGACTGGGTATCACCACTGATTTCCTGAATCAATTCAATTTCGATTCAAGGGGTCTCGATCCAATATCAATTTGACTCGAGATTTTTCAGTTACAAGACCAGTCCCTCCAGGATCTTGCGACAGAAAAACCTTGAATTTGGGGCCAATTTTGTCAAAAATTGCGATGACATTGCAGCAAATAACAAAAATTGCAAGTCAAGAGAAAGAAGAATTTAAAAAAAAATTTAAATTACTGCCTCCAAAAAATAAGTCATGTAATCACTTACTATAATAATCATACTGAATATTACAAAAACAGCTGCAAATGTTTCAGGTCTCTTGTTTAGTTTTATTTAATTAGTTTCAAAACATGGACTCCAATAAAGTTGCAAAAAATTCTGAGAATATTGTAGCCCTCAAACCCGACAGTGTGACTGTAAAACAACATGTAAGCTACATCTTCTGTAAACATAACATTTCAATAAATTCAACACATATTGTCTGCATTTAAACAGTGCAAATTCTTATGTCCATACAGAGAGTTTCTCCATACTGCAATGCTATTAGCGCATCTGATGACATTTCAAACGACACATTGGCGACGATTTCCGGTCAACCGTAAAATGCGGAAAAAAACATGGATAAACAGCGGGACTTTTGAAAAATTGCAAGCCCCAGCAAATATTGCGGACTTTTGTTTAATTTGCGTTAATTATTGCAATCGCAAGATGGCAATTTTTTGGAGGGACTGCAATACCAATTTTTGCTAGTATGTGAAAGAGATTCTCAGAGAACTAATCGTGTAACATTTACAAGGAAGTATTTTTTTAAAAAGAAGAAATTCACAACAGGAATAAAACGGAATATTTCATAATTAAATGTTGTTTCTGGAGCAGCAACAGTAATATTAAAACAGCATAGTCACAATACAAACTTAATATCTCACTGGAAACAAAATAAAAATGTCAATAAAATAAATCATATTCCTGACATCACAGTACTGAGTGAATTTTCAAAGAATGAATAGAGAATACAGACATCAGTCAGTATCAGTCCTCCTGTCTACTGATGATGACTCACTGCCTGCAGGTCACATGACCACCGACTTTTTCCTCGAG